ATAGAATAGAATAGAATAGAATAGAATAGAATAGAATAGAATAGAATTCTTTATTGGCCAAGTGTGACTGGACACACAAGGAATTTGTCTTGGAGCAAATGCTCTCAGTGTACCTAAAAAGAAAAGATACATTTGTCAAGAGTCAAGAATCATCAGGTACAACACTTAATAATAGTCATAGGGTACAATAAGCAATCAAACCATACTAGGAAAACAGTCAATATAAATCGTTAGGATACAAACGACAAAGTTACAGTCATACAGTCACAAGTGGGAGGGGATGGGTGATAAGGAGTGATGAGAAGATTAATAGTAATAGTAGTGCAGACTTTGTAAGTAGCTGGACAGTGTGGAGGGAATTATTTGTTTAGCAGAGTGATGGCGTCCAGGAAAAAACTCCCCTTGTTGTGCAGTGTGTCTAGATGTACAGTGTTCTACAGTGTCGTTTTGAGGGTAGAAGTTGAAACAGTTTATGTCCGGGATGTGAGGGGTCTGTAAACATTCAGCCTTATGTATTGTATGTACTTAAAGTAACAGTATAAAGTAGCATATGGGCATGATGGCTCAGGAGTTAAAGGCTCTGAGCTTACTAGTTGGAATGCTGTCCATTTGGGTTCAAGACCCAAGCACCACACGATTGGTTGAGCTCCCATTCCTTGCTCCAGCTCCTGTCCACCTAGCAGTTCGAAAGCAGGCAAGTGTGAGTAGATAAATAGGTACCACCATGTGAAGATAACAGTGTTCCATGTGCCTTTGGAGTATAGCTATGCTGACCGCATGACCAGAGAACATATCTTTGGACAACACTGACTCCCTCGGCTAAGAAATGGAGATGAGCATCACCTCATAGAGGAGGAAACAACTGAAAAAAGGAAACATTTACCTTTATAAAGTAGCATAAAGACTTACTAAATGACCTGACCTGGTCCAAGGGGCCCAGCAGAGATTATACTACCTGAGACTTCTCAGGAAACAACAACTGAATGAAAAATTGCCGGTGACCTTCTACCGCTGCACCACAGAGAGCATTTTAACTTACTGCCCCCGTGCATGGTTTGCCAATTGCACAGGGGCAGATAGGAAAGCACTCCAGAGGATTAACGTCATTGCCCAGAAGATCATGGGTTGCCCTCTCCCCTTTTTGGAAGAGCTTTATAGCTCCCGCTGCCTTAAGAAAGTTCAAAACATTCTCAAAGATCCATCTCATCCTGGGAACCCTTTTTATTTGAACTATTACCATCTGGCAGACGGTACAGGACAATAAAAACAAAGACAAATAGTCTGAAAAACAGCTTCTATCCCAGGGCAGTAACTCTGTTGAATTCTACTGTATAGTGCAATATTAATGCAATATCAGGGGTTTTAAGTCAATGTATAGAAAGTGAAGGATCTGTTTTTGTGTCTATTTTCATAGTCATAATGTGCCCTGAAGATGGTATTTAATTTCATTTTATGAGGTGCAATGACAATAAAGTAAACTGAACTGAACTAAACTAAACTGAACTTTCACAGAAATATGCTCCTGAAACAAAAGTCACCTTTATACTTGTGGAAAAGTACAGCAACTTACACACTCAGATGAATCACCGTTTGTGAGAATCATTTCAATATACCTTGAGAATATATCTTGTGTTTATTTTCATGGTCATGATGTGCACTGAAGATGGTGTTTGATTTCGTTGTACGAGGTGCAATGACAATAAAGTAAACTAAATGGAACATAACTTCTTCAAAAGACAAACAAACAAGCAAGGAAGGAAGTCCAGTTGCTTCCTGAAAAAGCACCTTTGACTGAGAATCTCTACAAATGGAACATAAGTATTTCAGTCCCTGTTGTATTGTTGTATCCTAATAAGGATACCTTTTGCATTTTATTTACTCTCCTTTGAAAGACACTGTTTTTGTGGACCTGTGTATTGTGTACAACAATTCATTCATTCATTCATTCATTCATTCATTCATTCGTTCATTAATTCAATCATTCATTGAAAGTGTGACAACTTGGAAGATAAAGAAGCTGTAACCAACAACATCCAGAAAGTTGACATGCCAGCTGTGATACCCCGTCCCCGACTGTACATGTGTGAATGCTGTTATTCCATTTTGGCTGCATTTGAGCCATGGAGTTATATCCTGGATTGGTCAAAAAAGAGTTAAAGGCTTAAATCTCCCCTTTCATTGAAGGCATGCAGACTTTTCAACTCTGTCAAGTGCATAATTTCCACTGCTGGTTCTTTCCAAAGTAGGGGGCAGTGAGAACAACACTGACTTTTCTTTGCTGGGCTGACAAATTCCCACGAATGCTGATTTCTACAGTAATCTCAGCCAATTATCTCACAGCAGCCTTGGTTCAGCATTTAATTGCAAGGTTGCATGCAGCGAGTCCAGCCGTTCTTTCATTTATGGTGCAGACTTGTTCGCTTCTCAAAAG